GGGGAGATGTTCATGTTGCTGCGGTCTGCAGTCTGGACGCTAGATGTCGCTGAAAATTACACACTGTAGCTTTAAGACAATTCTGAAATGAGAGCAAGTTACAGGCAAACAACGTGTGTCCCACTGAAATTGGAGACACCACGGTTAGCTCTTGACAGAGTTAAAGGGGTCACATTGTGGCTTTGCATGAAAGCTGCAGGTTTCCATATGTATTTATACAGACTATCCTATGCTGGAAACAGTGATTCAAATAGGATATCTGCATGCTTTTTGTCATTCTGCACTATGTTTCATAGACTGCATAACTCATATTATGCACTTGCACAAGATGACCATCGAACCTCATGCAATATGCATCCATACCATATCTGCTGATTGGTTGTAATGCTGTTTATTTTGAATAGAGACCATTCACCATGTAGATAGACTTTTGGAAGCTTGGGTCTGACAGCAATATCATACCACACAATGACCATAACCATTATTGGTTTGATACCATTCTGTCAAGCTGTCCAAGTGTTTTGTTTAAAATAGGTATATAAACTGAACTATAGTTATTATTATTATTATTATTATTATTTGTTCTATTTGCATTTCAGCTGAATCTCTTTGCTTTTTCATTCTTTCTGATTTGCTTCACTTTTTTTTTTACACACCAACTGACTCTTCTTTAGTGGCTAATAGTAGATTTCAACATTTTAAAGACCACATTAAGTTAGTTCACACTATATAATGAAAATTATTATTTTTCATTTTGGTAATAGCTTAAGAATAAAAAACTCACAGTTTGGCATTATGTGACACAAGATTTACACCAGCATTATAAGACCTATTTGCATATAATCTAATTAATTACATTGCTCATGAAAAACAGTGACAACAGTGTTGAATCTGTCCTTCAGGTACATCTCAAGTGAGTTTAGAGACATCCGTCTCACATCATATCCCCAATACTGTTTTTTCGCTGTCTTCTGTATGGGGACAATCTCTTCTGTGCTGTTTGGGTCATTGCGTCCGATAGCGGCGAAGGTGGGAAAGGCATCTTTCAGTCCTTCAGGAACACTGTGGTTGTAGTTTGGGCAGCAGTATGCGGACCACAGATACTCTGGCACTGCCACGCGATTCTTGATCCAGTGTTCGTCTTTCTGGTAAGGAATGATGCCTGTTACTATGTAGGCTTCCCCAAGACAGTAGGAAGCCAAAGTATTGTTGACGGTCTGCTCTAAGTCTTCCCAGGGTCCATCATTGGACCATTTCTTCTGAGGAACCACATTGGTAAGGGTGAATGTGGAGGAGCGGCACAGGGGGGTCTGGTGATGAAGGCTAGGGTTGAGATGACCACGGGAGTAGGTGGAGTTAATGTAGTCTAGCTCGACTGCCTGGCTCTCCACAACGTTCATGTCCACCGGTCCTGGCAAGAAGGGCCTCATGTTGCCATCAGCTGCAGGGTAGGCCAACTGTTATTGAGCCAGAAGAATAAAAAATGCAATGTTTGACAAGTAATACAAACTAAAGTAATCAATGTGATTAACAAAACCTACTGTTTAAAATAGAGTTCACATGAAAAATACTTTAACTGTCTGATTCTTTCATTTGAAACAGACTTTGATGATCAATTTGTAAAAATAGATGGACAGGAGAAGAACATGCAATGCAGCGACGATGTGCACACCCACAGATTTGAGTATCTTCTGTCTTTGTTTTGTATCATGTCAGTACATCTTACTCTCCACAACTACATAACACCCATTACAGCCCATAGCGTTAACAGTTGGTACCTCTCCAGATGTATTTGTGGTGTAAAATTAACTTTAGCCTGCCCACCCATTGTTCCTTGATGCTGCTCTGACCATGCTCTGCTTTACTCTATTTCCACCTTGTCATCAGCTTTTAATACCATTTAATTCAAGGATTTTTCAGATATTTTGACAAAACGGTTGTAAATCTAATACAGCTTAGTTTCATGAATCACTGTTTTTTTTAACCATTAGATTCCACCTGATAATACTTAATTCAGAAAGATTCTCTCATTCTTCACCACATCCATTGAAGGAGGAAAGACTAGAATTGTCGCAAGCTATACATACCTGGGTGTAATATAGGACTTGTGCAAAGAAAGTAGAGACTGTACGTTTTAAAGGTACTGGTATCTTGAAGTTGATGCTTTTAATGTTTTATTCTGCTTTTATAGAGGGTAGTGTAACCTTTAGTGGGATATGATGGTTTGCCAATACCATAGAGTCTGAGAAAACAGCTCGAGGAAGGGGAACCACCTTGCCAAGCAAGTAACAAATACAGTATATGGACAGAATGGCAGAAAAGGTTGCAGCAGAAAATTGATTTCCACTAAGCTCAATATATGCTGCTCCATTTGGGGTAAAATATTGCCTTCCTTTCATCCTGACGAACAAAGTAAAATTTCATTTTATATCATAAGAAATAAACTAATCTTCTTTGCTGTTTAAATAATTGTAATGTTGTTGTACATGTTTTTCTAGAGTATGTTCGTGCTTTACGCAAACACCTTCTCGCAACACCACATTAATTAGGAAGGAAAGAGACATTTCTTTTCAGTAAAAAACAAAATACAAACCCTTTTAGTTAATTGACTCAGAAGTGTTTCTGATTCTGTTGAAGTTTTCTGTTTGAGTTTTCAGTTACACTTTGAATCATGTCTTTCTGTGTATTCTAGGTCATTGGTTTCATTTCCATTCTGTGCCATTCTGGTAGTTTTTTGTTTTTATTTGAGTTCTCTTATATTTTTTGTTCACTCTCTGTTGCTCTGGTGCCAATCTTCTTTCCCCAAGCACCTTTCCAGATCCTTCTGTCCACACCTTCTCCCAATCACTTCATTACATCATTCTTTGTTCTGTTTGGTATATATACTCCTCCTCTGCAGTTACTGTTTGCTGGATACTCTTCATTCTCTCCTTAACCCATGTGTTTCCCTTTTTTCGAGTTCCTGTATGTCTTCATCAGTTATTTTGGGATTTATGCTTCTGTTACCACGACTCTTTATTAAATCTGCAAAAAATCACCTCAGCTTCTGTCTCTGCATTTGAGTCCTCTAAAAACCTGACAATAAGAGGTTCCTTCTTCCACTCTTCAATAAACTCTTTCATCCAAATAAATATGCTTCTGTTAAAAATATAAACAATTAGATTTGTTTTATTTTATTAATTTATCATCCAAATAGTTAAATGGGAGGGCCATTTTAATATTCTTCTTGTTTCCATTTTTGGTGCAGAGCTGGCACCTTGTGAAGACACAATAACCACTTCTCCTTTTAAAGCTCAATTTCCTGTTTTTATCTACTGCTAACTACTCAGTGAATTTAAGTTGGACCATAAGCAACCAAAGAAAGAAATGTTATAAAATTTTCTCCAAATATTCACATTGTTAAACTATTATGCTTCTGTTTCTACTGCGAATAAATTCCTTTACACCAATAAAAACCAGTACCTGTAGAGTATACCTCTTTTTGAACTATCTAAATCAGTGAAGTGAAAATATAAGTTTGAAGCTGCTTACCTGTGGTTCATATTTCCAAGAGGCTTTTGGTCTCTTCCCACTTGGTACTGTGTACACATAAGCCGAGAACCATGGAGAGCGGCGCGGTCGACTGTATAAAGTGGCAAAGCGGTAGTTGTTATTGTATCGCTGGCAGATCGAAGTCCCAGCCAGGCCTTTGGGGGGCCAGGATCTATAGAAGAATTGCAAACAGGGGGTAAAATCTCCGACATCAGCCACAGAGAAAGAAATGAAGGCCACGAAAAGCAGAACGTTGCTCAGGCCTGACATTTTTTAACTGCTTTCACCCAGAGCAAAGAATCAACTAAGAGCTGTTCCTGTTTTATACAAACACAGGATGAAGGCATAAGGAAGTGATAAAACGACTGTCTCGAAAAAAATAAGAAAGTCTCACTCTTTTGGAGAATCAGTCTCATCAGCTTAAAGAAAGTACATTTATGTTTACTAACCTAATGTGGCAAATATGAACAGAATCATGGCAGTCTGCCTGACAAAGTATATAATCTGCACATACAGGGATTCTCATAAATGTACACACTCCTATTGGATTTTTGGTTTTGTAACTTACAAACCTTAAATGCTTTCTTTAGCTCTAATTGATCTATGGATGCAATGGTCTTTATGTCCTCCTTCTACAGATGGTATACTTGACCTTGTCTTCAAATAAATTATTTTCCCTCACTCAGACAAAATAACAGAGCTATTAAAATAAAGTTAGATAAATAATTATTTGAACACCCTGCTATCTTGCAAGTTCTCCCACTTAGAAATCATGAAGGGGTCTGAAATTGTCATTGTAGGTGCATGTCCACTATGAGAGACATAATCTAGAAAGAAAATCCAGGAATCACAAATAAGTTTTTGACCACCATAGAAAATGAATGTTAATATTTGGTAGAGTAGCCTTTGTTTGCAATTCCAGAGGTCAAATGTACACTGTAGTTTTTCAACAAGTTTGCATACACTGCAGGATGAATTTTGGCCCACTCTTCCACACAGATTATCACTAGATCAGTCAGGTTTCTGGGCTGTTGCTGAGAAACGTCGAGTTTGAGCTCCCTCCAAAGATTCTCTATTGGGTTTAGGTCTGGAGACTGGCTAGGCCACGCCAGAACCTTGATACGCTTTTACCAGAGCCACTTCTTGGTTATCCTGGGTGTTTGCTTTGGGTCATTGTCATGTTGGAAGACCCAGCCTGGACCCATCTTTAATCCTCCAACTGAGGGAAGGATGGTGTTCCCCCAAAATCTCACAATACATGACCCTAGTCATCCTCCCCTTAAAGGAATAGTACACCCAAAACATGATTAGCCTTCATTTTCTACTCACCCCCATGCTGAACAACACTCTGGAGTACTTTTTTGATATCTCAAAT